CAGGTTGGTGGGCGACCTGGCACCTGCTGAGCCCAACCTAGAGGAGTTGGGTGAGCACTCCCACCTGCTGCTGTGGAGGTCCACACGAAGCCTCTCATTGCTTAGCCCAGATAGTGCCGGAAAACAACCCATCACTCCTTGAAGTCTACACTGACAGGACTCCTCCTGCAGGAAGCATCCCTGCCAAAGAGTGAGATTTCTGTTTAACGCCAAGTGTCACTGACTCTGGGGTGCAATCTCAGGTGGGGAATTAAAAGCTGCACCCCACAATATTGCCCCTAGGCTGAAAATCTGGGCTTAGCATGTTGCACACTGTCATCAGCATTTGTCAGCAAGGAGGAGAGCCCAAATAGTGGTGGTGAGAATAGAGGTGAAGGTGATGGTGGTGGTGATGATGGAGGTGGAGGAGGTGGTGGAGGTAGAAGTGGTGGTGACGGTGGAGGTGATAATGATGGCAAAGGTGTTGGAGGTAGTGGAGGAGGTGGTGATGATGGTGGAAGTAGTGATGATGAAGGTAGAAATGATGAAGGTAGAGGTGGAGATGGTGGTGAAGGTGATGATGGAGGAGAAGGTAGAGGTGGTGATAGAGGTACAGGTGATGATGGTGGAGGTAGAGGTTGTGGTGGTAGAGGTAGTGATGATGGTGATGAAGGTGGAGATAGCGATGGTGGAGATGATGGTGGTGGAGGTGGAGATGGTGGTGGAGGTGAAGGTGGTGATGGTGGTGGAGGTGGCGATGGTGGAAATTGTGGTAGAGGTGGTGGTGGTGAAGATGGAGGTATTGATGATGGTGGTGGTGCTGGTGGTGGAGGCAGTGATGATGGTGGTGGAGGTGATGGTGATGATGGCGGAGGTGGAGGTGGTGATGGTGGCGGAGTAGGAAGGGGTAGTGAGGTCGAGATGGTGATGGTGGTGTTGATGGAGGTGTTAGGGTGGAGATGGTGGTGGTGATAGAGGCAGTGATGGTGGTGGAGGTGGTGATGATGGTGGTGGAGGTGGTGGTGATGGTGGTGGCGGTGGTGGTGGGGGTGGAGGGGGAAGGGGTAGTGAGGTCGAGATGGTGATGGTGGTATTGATGGAGGTGTTAGTGATGGCAAAGGTGGAGGAGGTGTTACAGTGGTGATGTCTACACAGCACCTTTCCCTGGTAGGGCTGGTGGCACCCCAACTGTTCTGTGGGGCATTTCCTGAACACTGGCCTAGACCCTAGGTGAGGCCAGGCACACGCCCTCCCGCAGAACAGGAGTCATGATGCAGCATCATAGGCGAGAGTAGAAACACCAAGGGAGATGGCCCACTGAGGCCCAGGACCCATCTGGGCCTGCACCTGCATCTTCCCAACTCTCTGGCTCCCACCATCCCATAAAGGCCTTCATATACCTGGCTGTCAGGTTCCGCTCAGCTGCCTGCAGGGAGTTGGCCTCGACTCTATCAATAAGCAGCTATCAGTGATTGGCAGTAAGAGAAATATCTAACTTTATAAAGCACTGACCAGGTGCCAGACAACTGTCACAATGTTAGAGACCATTTTTTTCTTTTGTTTTTTTTTTGAGAGGTTTTAGCTATAGGGCGCGTGCACTCGCCAGAAAGACAGAAAGAGACAGAGAGACAGCGAGAAAACACTCCCTGGGGGATAGCCACAACACAATCCCTTCTCCTCCATTCTCCTCTCGGGATCTTGGGCACACACGCCTGGCCTGAGTTTACACCACCACGTCCGGGACTCCAACCACGGTTGACTACATGGAAGTCCAGCGACATAGCCATTACACCAACTGCTGGTCCCAGGGGCCTCTTTTATTACCATTGCACAAGTGAAGCGAACAAGGTGGAAAATTGAATTGTCTTCCCGGAATCCACAGCCATTACCTGGTGGGATCTGTATTCAGATCACTTGGGATCTAGCAGCCCAAGTCCACCAAATCTATCTCTGATTGGCTCTATCAGAATACCCCGTAAGCATCAGACAGCACCCACCCACCTTCTCCAAATGGGCTCTCCTGAGGGGTCTGCACCTTCGAATCAATGAGGTTTGTTACTGAAGTCAGGAAGGGCAGGTAGAGGCAAGGAAAGACCTGAAGCCACGTGCACTAATCTTCCTTCATCGACGTTTGTATTATCAGAGAGAGAGAGAGAGACAGGTACCTCCCAAAGAGTCTCCACACCACAACTCACGCCTCGCCTCGCGTGCGGTGCACCCAGCAAGCCCAGAGGGTCCCAGGACACGAACCTGGGAGCTTCCCCTGTGGGTTGTCCTAGCGTCACTGCACCACCACCTGGTCCCTCAACATTTCAACTTAGCACCAAGTCACCCTCCCCAGACTCACCAGTCAGTAACCCCGAGCTATCCACGCTCATGCTTTCCAGAATGTTCTGGATAAAGTCTCCTGGACCTCCTGGTTGGACATCTGGCAAAACAACTGGAAAACCAAGCGAGTCCCAGAGCTGCCCTCCCAGCCCCTGGGGGACCCAATCACCAGCTCTCCTAAGGCACTCGTACCTCAGGGCCCACAGGGCATGCCCAGGCAGCACAGAAAGGTCAGGTCCTGGAGTCAAGTCCCTCTACAGAGCTGGGGGACATGCAGTACGGTAAAGAACTGACCATTAGAAAACGACCTTGTGTGGTTCTCATCCATCTGGCTGGCCCTTCCTCACACACATGTCCCTTAGCAGCCCTGTCCTGGCTCCTGACCACCTGCACCATCTCCAGTACCACAGTGGTTGGTGCACTGTCAAGATGGACCCCGGGCTGTTCCTCAACAATGGGGCTGTGCTGGGTCACCTTCCCTCTCGTGGCAAATGCTAATTACTTGTGTTATTCCTTGTGAGACTTTCCAGAAGCTTCCTATTTGCTCTAGCTATTCTCTCAAACCTGTGGGTTTTATAAATTCATAAATGTACTCTTACATATTTGTTCATTCTTACTCGTTTTCTCTTTATTGCTTCTTGAATTAGATGCATAATTCTCTTTCATTACATAAATAACAGTACTGTGTTCCAGCTGGGAAACAGAGGGACCCGTGGGCGCTGTTTCCCACACCCCACTTCCCAGCTCCCTCAGAAGGACAAAAGCATTCACAGGCTATGGAATGCCCAGTGACCTGCCCATGTGTCCACATCCACGTGTGTGTGCGTGTCCATTCCTATCACTTGTTTACTTCTTCATGAGCAAGAGACAGAAAGAGAGTGAGACAAAGACAAGCCCCAACAAGGCCTTGATGCTGTGAAGTAGCCGGCCACAGCTAGCTGTGGGCTGTGGACCATGGGGACACACATGCCCTGTGGACACAAACCTGGAACCTCCACAGGTGGGTCAGCCCGTGCTACTGTAACACCATCTAGCCCCATGTTTTCATTTTCAAATGAGAAAAGGGCCAGCCCACTGCCTAATGGGTAAGGAAGCCGGACACCACATGGCCCACTGTATGGGTTGAGCCCCAGCAGCTAGAAAAACACACGAGCGGTGTGCTCGCGTACACCCAAAATCTTGACAGGATGGAGAAAGGGTAAGAAAGAGTGGCGTGACCACATCCCACTGGGATACTTCTCCCTCTTCTTTTTTCTCTCTCTGGCGAGGACACATGCCCTCTGCCAATTAAAAAAGAAAATTCTAGGGACTAGCAGATGGCATAATGATTATGTCACTAGATTCCCACATAGTCGACCATGGTTCAAGTCCCAGACCTGGCAGCTTAAAACACATGCTGGGAGTGTGTGTGTGCATGCCCCAAATCCCAACAGAATGGAGGAGAGACTGCAGTGTAGTCATTCCCCTGGGGAGGGATTTCTAGCTTACTGTCCGTCTCTCTGGCGAGCACATGGGCCCAATAGCAAAAAAAATCTCTTTAAAAAAAAAAAAAAAAAAAAAAAATTATGTCTGTCTATAAAAATGACCCTAAACAACGTGTGGTAGTCTGTGATGTCCCCTAGTGCCCAGGGCCCTCCGCCCATCTCCTCGCCAAGTGTGGTCGCAGCTGGGCCCATTCATCTCCTTTAGCCGGCTGGGGCTCGCTGGTCCACCCACATGGCTGTAACACCGCACGTTGGCTGGAACTGGGGAAGGGTGAGGAGGTGCCTGCTCAGCTCCAGAGCAGAAGTCATGGTTTTCAAAATGACCCTCCCCAGGACAGGAAACCACAAGTGTGGCCATGGCCAGGAGGGCTGGTGGGAGGCCCCAGTCTGCCCTGAACCCAGCTAGACCCACGGCAGGAGGTGGCTCTGCACGGGCAGAGGCAGGCTAGGTTCAGTCTCTGCAGAAGGCCTTTCCTGGATGACCTCCAGGTGGCAGTTTCTACTCTACCTGGGGCCAGGTAGACCATCCACACCACAGTCTACCTGCTGGGATGTCGGAAGCAGCATGGAGAGGGGCTCGTAGGCCTCGCCATGTCTCCTCCCACCCCACTGAGCCAGCATGAGGGCATGCGCAGGCCTGGGCTTACAGAGCGCTGACCGGCTCGGGCCTTCTTGCAGTTAGATGAGTCCCTGCTGAGTGCAGCGTGGTCCTGGTCAAGGATCACCCTATGCTGTGGTCTTCAAGCATATTCCCGACCCGGGGTCCCCAGACTCAGGGCTCACTCGGCAAACCACACCCTGCACAGATGACGGATCAGCCACCACAAAGCTTCTGATGCTGGTGGGGCCTGGGCAGGAGACACCAGGTCCCCCGCTGCTGCCCAGTCTGGGGACCTACCTGAAACCCAGAGGCCAACAGGGTGGGCTGTGGCACAGTGGGTGCCGCTCAGTGACTCAACATACAGGTACCTGGCCGACCCATTGGGCTGGGGGAGGTGGACACGTGAGATTGTAGAGGGTGCCTATCCGAGAGACAGAGGAGGGAGGAGCGAGGAACTTGAAAACAGCAGACAAGGAGATGGCGGTGGACCCTGCTGTGCTGGTCCTGGCTGTCCCTGCACAGCGAGCGCTTGTCTCTCAGCACAAGGCAGTTTAAGAGGCAGCCTTCATGCATGACAGCAGCTCGGTCCCTGAGGGAGGACACAACACAGACTTCGCAGTAAAGTGGACAAAGAGCTGTGGTCACCACTTTAATGTTCATAGTTCGGGAACAGCTTTATATATAAAAGTCATTTTAAAAACAACCAGGTTTGCTGGGAAAGTGCCTTTCTCCTCATCACGAATTTCTGTGCATGGACATCTGACACCAGACACGTTACTTACGTGGCGAAGAGCAGGCGTGTAAGAGCCTCGAGCCCCTGCTCAGCAAGCCCCACCCCTCCCCGCTGCACAAGCTCATGCTGTCAGGAAAAGACGCGTGTGCTGCACTCCTGGGGTCCTCTCTCCCGAGCACGGGGTTTGCTAGGGATTCAGCAGCTGCCCCAGAGACCTCATGGACGACTCATAGAGAAACCTGAAACAGAGAGACACACTTAGCCGGGGGCGCCATCGCATCACATGCTCGTCCTCAGGGTACCTCGGAAGTGGTGGCAGCCAAGCCCATGTACGACAACGCTGAGACCAAGGACCAGATGCCAACACAGGCGCCGTCGGCCGCACTGGGCACGTGACGGGCCCCTGGTGTGTGGCCACCCGGTGCATGTGTCTCTGGAGCGTCTCTCACTGGCGAGTGCATGTGTCCCAAATGGGCCTGTCCGAAGGGCTCTAGGCCATCAGGCCAGCTCGGACTGACACTGGGGCTGCCCCTCCTTCACGGCAGCCTCATGCCGACGTCTCCACGGCACAGAAAACGAGAAAACGCTAGGACACTGACTACCGGCCGCCTCGGGGGCCCTGGCCCCAGCCCCAGCCCCAAGCTCAGGCCCGCAGGACCAGCCGAGCCCCTCCCCCACAACACGGGCCTGTCCGCACGCTTGTACCGCCCCTGCCGCTGCACTGGAAGGCACCTGCTGCTCCCCGAGGCAGGCACGAGTCTGCACAGAGTGGGGGCTGCCACCGCGTCCCCACTGTCCTCAGGGACTCCTGGGGCCGTGCTCACGTGGCCAGGATCTGCTCCCGAGCGCTCTCCAGTCTGAATTGCTCCAACATGGACCTCTGTTCCCCGAGGTATCCCCACTGGCTCAGCTCTCAGCCCACACGTGTCAACGCCATCATGTCTACCCACGTCCGCCTGGAGGCGGAGCTGTGTCCACGGCACATGTAACGTGGACGCAAGCACGCTTTTTAAATATGCTAGGAGTCACCTGAGGAGAGACCCAAAGACAGTGACAGTCACCTCGACGTGTCTGAACGTCACAGAGGCCATCAGGTCACTACTGACAGGCCTGCCCCTCACGTTCTGTCTTCCCCTGCCGTGTGCTTCCTGTCACGTATGCCACAACCACGCCAGACCCACGCATGGCCCGGCCAGCACAGAGCCACAACACCCACTGGCTCTTCTCATGTCTGGAATTTGGGGACTTAGCCAGAACTACTCAGGGGAGCCTTCCTGCTCATGCATCCCATTCAGGATTTGGAGAAGAAAATAGAAGGGCGTCTTCCAGCTGCCCTGGCCCAGCCCAGGCACTCCCACTGCGGCTTGTCAGAGGCCGCTCCTCCTAGATGAAGGCTTCTGGTTCCAGGCCCAAGTTCCGCCCTCGGCGACACCTCCATTCAGGGCTGTGCTCAGCACATCCTCCAGCCCACATCCTGGTCCACGTCCCGGGCCACACCCTGGCTGTCGCCAACTCCTCACCCTCGGTGCTGTCTACGAGTGCAGAGAGCAGCCCCCGGCCCACGTCCCGGCCCTCGCAGACTCCTCCCCATGGTGCTATGCAGGGTCCTCAGGCCCACACCCGGTGGCTCTTACCACGTCACTCCGCAGCAGCGCTCACTGCTCCCCTCTGGCCACGGGGTCGCCCCTGCCCTGTAAACTCACTCTGGCCAAATGAGACATTCCACGCATGGCCCGGCCAGCACAGAGCCACAACACCCACTGGCTCTTCTCATGTCTGGAATTTGGGGACTTAGCCAGAACTACTCAGGGGAGCCTTCCTGCTCATGCATCCCATTCAGGATTTGGAGAAGAAAATAGAAGGGCGTCTTCCAGCTGCCCTGGCCCAGCCCAGGCACTCCCACTGCGGCTTGTCAGAGGCCGCTCCTCCTAGATGAAGGCTTCTGGTTCCAGGCCCAAGTTCCGCCCTCGGCGACACCTCCATTCAGGGCTGTGCTCAGCACATCCTCCAGCCCACATCCTGGTCCACGTCCCGGGCCACACCCTGGCTGTCGCCAACTCCTCACCCTCGGTGCTGTCTACGAGTGCAGAGAGCAGCCCCCGGCCCACGTCCCGGCCCTCGCAGACTCCTCCCCATGGTGCTATGCAGGGTCCTCAGGCCCACACCCGGTGGCTCTTACCACGTCACTCCGCAGCAGCGCTCACTGCTCCCCTCTGGCCACGGGGTCGCCCCTGCCCTGTAAACTCACTCTGTGCCAAATGAGACATTGGCTGGTACGAGGCGGGAGAGGAGGGCCCAGGCCTGTGGGGCCAGCACTTGGCAGCAGGCAGGACACGGCCCTAAAGGCCTCCAGAGACCCCAGTCCCACCGCTCTTTAGGCTCCCTGAGGTGTAGACAGAGAATTACCCTCCAGGTCAGCTCTCGGTAGTTGGCAGGCCAGAGCCTGTGAAGGTCAACCTCCCAGGTCCCGTGTGTCCCCAACTGCCCTGGGGTACCATCAGCCTGGGCCGGGAGCGGGCTCTGCCCACACCAGGTCACCCACCACGCACAGCACAGCCAGACTGGAACAGAACCAAAGGAACACCAGTTACCAGTCCTGCAGAACCCAAAAGGAGTATTTAATTACTCAAAAATAGTGTGGGCTCCAATTTAAAAATACCTGAGAGAGGGCCAGGAAGGTGTGGCAGTAACACCCTGGCAAAGTCCCACGCCCACTCCCAGGCCTCGGCATGAGCCCACGTCAGCACTGTGACCCTGAGAGGCCAGGGCTGGGGGACCCTCTCAGTGTGAGGACCTTCTTAAGGGTGCCTGCGTCTCTGCACCATGGCAAAAATAAATATAAAGAAAAAAAAAAAAATGTGGCACAAAAAAATGAGGTTACCATGGCAGAACTACTTATTAACCAGAGAACAGGCAGCTGCTCCCTGGCCAGGCCCAGGCTGGCCCCAGCACGGCCACCTGTCTACCGTCCTCCCAGAACAGGCAAGGTGACCGAGGCTCAGGAGGAGTCCCAGACCACAGCCAGGATCAGCAGCCGTCTGCACGGGAGCAAGCAGTCACCCCACCACTGGTCACTGATCACACGCCCACACTCACAAGCCTCCATGTCTCCATGCCCGACGCCAGGGCGGGCCTTCACAGGCCAGAGAACAGCCGTCAGAGAACAAGGTGGGGACGACAGCTCCAGAGCGGAGAGCGAGAAGGACAGCAGGAAACCTGAGCCGAGCTCTCGGGGGACGAGACGCCGACGGACAAGGAGGGTGCCTCCTGTCCCCACAGCTCTGGTCTGCACGGGAAGCCAGCCATGGAGGACAGTCACCCATCTGCACTCCCCGCCCTGCATCAGGGTGGTCACCGCAGGGACAGGTCCCTGGGAGGGTAGGCAGAGCCAGCTGACGGGACACATCCAGAGGACAGGAGGACAGGGAGAACGCCTGCTCGCAAGTACACGCAGAGTGTCCACACAGGGGCGCTGGCACCGGGGCTGCAGCCAGCCGCTGCGACCCCACGAACACCAACCACCCTCTTTCCAAACGTGCCACCAACACCACGGGGAGGGCCTCCTTCCCTGCAAGGACTGCCCCGGGCAAGGGCGCAGCTGGCCCAGAATCCACCTGCATGAGACTGGGTGAGTGTGCCCGGGGCACAGGCTGAGGGTGCACACCCTGAACACAGGGTGCCCATGACCTACAACATGGCCGTCCTACTGCCTAGTGCCCATGGGAGTGCCACACCATGCAGCCCACAAGGGCAGCGCACAAAACAAGCCCGACACCTGAACACACGTGCTGGCAGGACCCTGTGCCGCTGTGCCAGGTGGGTATAGCTTCTCCGCACCAGGGCGGGCGGCAACGGGGCCAGGCTGCCTGCAGGGGTGAGTGGGGAGAACCCTGCTAGGGACAGGGCGCTCCTTCCCCTCAGTCAGGACCCATGGAAGTCGGCCATGCTGGGACACCTTCTTCCCTCTCTCCTAGGTCAAACTCTCCTCAGTCACCTCTCCCTCCCCGCCTGATCTCCCCTGACTTCAGCCGCCTCTCCCTCCCTGCCATTTCACTCCTACCTGACACCTCATCCTCCTCGCCACTGTCTCTCCCTCTCCTCGGACACCTCTTCAACGTCTCTCTCCTCTACCTAAGACACTTCTCCCTCCCCGCCGTCTCTCCCCCTACCTCAGCTGCCTCTCCCTACCCTCCGTCTCTCCCTATCCTCAGACACCTCTCCCTCATGCCGTCTCTCCCCCTACCTCAGACGCCTCTCCCTCCCGCCGTCTCTTCCCCT